TTTTCCTAGGAACACCATAAACTTCTATGAGAAAGAGAAAGAGAAGAGAAAAGAACGGTGAATTTAACTTCAAACTTAGAGAAACTTACTTTAAATCCCTTAGAACGAATGCAGAATCACATATTTTGAGAGAAATCTAAGTTTAAGAGAGTTTAGTATGAGAGAAAATGGTGGTATATGACCTTGGAACATTTGAGAAATGTAAAGCAATGGAAATTTCGTGAAACCCCTATTTATAGGAAAAAAATTTAAAATTTACTGTTTACGTCAAAATCACTTTTGCCGACATTGTTCACATTTTTTGCACTGTTCATCAACACTGTTCACGCAATTTGCACTGTTCACCGACACTGTTCCTTTTTTTTCTCTTTCAAAACTCCATCTAAATCTATTTCAATACTAAATAATCATTCAATTAACATTTAGTAAATACAAAATATTATAGATTTTCTCTAATATATTATAGGCTTGACATTCTACACAGAGAGTCAATTTAAATCAACTTTTATTTTGTTTTTAAAATTTTTTTTTACACAGAAGTCTTGCTTTTGAAATTTTTTCACATAGATGTCAATTTAAATTGACTTTCATTCTATTTTTTTTGAATTTTTTATATAGAAATTAATTCAAATTAAATTTTTAAAAATTTTTTTACACAAAATTTAATTTAAATTAACTTTCACTCACACATGAATATGTTTTAGAAAAAAAGTCAATTATAATTAACTTTTTAATGCATAATTGAAGATCAACATGTCACGTCAAAGTGTTTTAGTGATATCTGATAGGCATCATGCAATCAAATAAGCTCTAGAAACGACAAAAAGTGAGTGACACAATTTTCATCAATAATGTGATTAGCCTTTGCTAGATTTAATTGAGATGGGAAAAAAATACGACGAATATTAGAAAAGCAGATATAAACTATTTTACTAGTTTGGGCTATCAAGAAATTAGTGAAAAATGCATATGTACACTTCGGTCTCAGAAAGGTTCTTCTCTCTTTTAAAGAGCAATTTATTCATAAAAAAATATATTTTTTGTTTATTTTCTCCTTCACCATATCATGCATATTGTGTCCGATACATTATGTCAAATTTTGCTGTAAAGTTTAAGAACAGAGGTGCAAATCAATTGCTAATGAATGATATTATCTCACTCTAATTTTCACACTCAATTTCAAAATATTTTCATCTTTAAATAGAAAATATGTATTTATTTATAATGAGGAAATATATTGAAATCAACTTTAACTATGCATTATAAAGTTGATTATAATCGATTTCTTTTTAAAACATATTCATGTATGAGTGAAAGTTAATTTAAATTGATTTCTGTGTAAATAAATTTCAAAACCATAATGAAAATTAATTTAAATTTTGTATATAAAAAATTTAAAAATAGAATGAAAGTCAATTTAAATCAATCTTTGTGTAAAAAAATTTCAAAAGTAGAATATAAGTCGATTTAAATTAACTTCTATGTAAAAAAAATTAAACCTATAATAAAAGTTGATTTAAATTTACTGCTATGTAAAAATTTTCAAAATAAAAAATAAAAATCGATTTAAATCAACTTTTGTTATATGTACTTTAAGGATATTTACATAAATTTTTTCTTTTCAAAACATTTAGAGAATAATAAATTTTTTTAATTTATTTATAAAAAAATAACCTACAATTTATATATTTATTTATGATTCTTGTATTTTTGTTTGATCACAGTGAAACTTTTTATAATTTAAACGGCTCGTGAATTTTATCTTTTACTTTAAGGGAGTCTATGCACTAAATAACTTTGTACTTACTTTTTGTTTTGTTATTTTTAGTTGTTACAGTATTTATTGTTACTCTTTGTAAATTCTTGCAAGTCAAAGAATTTGATTCTACCACATTATTCGTTATTACATTTATATTATTGTAGTAATAGTTCATAGTTATATGATTCAAGGTACTTTTTGACCACTTGTAACCCCTTTTTAATTTTCTCAACTACTAGTAAGTTAATCGCTCATGCAATCAAACAAGTTATATGGTAATAATACTTATATTAACTTATGAATTAATTAAACAATTTAATAAATATTATATAAATAATTTGGTACTACAAAATATTATATCAATATAAAAAAATGTAATTAATATAATCTATTTTTTTTAAGAAAATATTATTATCTACTCTAAAAAATATGTGACTTTAGAGTAATGACATGTTAGAATATAAACGAGAATGAATACTTATATCAATCATCTTAGAACTTAATTTTTCTCTTTTTAAATGTTTCTCAGCTCAAATTGCTTGAAGAAGGTTAAGCAGTCTAAAAGAATCTTATACTACGATATGATGCAAGAATATCTTACTCGCTTGCCTTCTCAACTTAATTTGAATTTGACAATTACGTGCATGCAATGGCCAAACCATAGAATCACTTCAACATCAACTGCAGCAGAATCCACAATGCATGTAAAAAATAGTGCATCGAAATATGATTTGCATAAGCAAGACCGGTACCTAACATCCCGTTTGGTACATTGATCAATCATTTTCTTCTAGCTGGAAAAGAAGAACCTTTAAGTGGACCAAAACATTGACTTCTACTTGAAAAATATTTTGAAAAAAAAAACAATTATGAAAATGTCATTTCATTCTTAAATATTTGTACAAAATTATAAAAAGTAAAAGCAAGAAATGTTATTTTTCAATTTCTTGACTTTGAAAATTGTTAGTAAAAAATAAAATATACTTTTCAAATCAAAGAAACCCTTAAAAATTTGCACCGCATTTTATTTCCACTAAATCATTTCCCCAGAAATTATATATTCCAATTTTTCACCATTATGCTTGCGACATATACATTTTTGTGCCTTGATCATCGTTAATAACTTACAAATATGAATCAATCAGTTTTGACTACTTAGAATGTTAAGATGAATATTTGTAAAACTAACGTTAAATAAATTTAATTTTATTAATTGAGTTTATCTTAAAAAATAATATTGTTTGGATAATTTAACTGAAATTAATTTTAAATACATAAAGGATATATTTATATTATTTTATTAAAAATTTGTTAGAGACGTGAAAGGTTATAAAAGTGAGGTGTTGTTAATTTGAAGCGGGATTCACCTTTACAAAATGTTTACGAAACTTGATGATATAAGAGTTTCGATTTTATTTTAATTTTTATATTCTTTGAGTTTGGACTTTAGTTGGCTGTTGAAGATCCCTATATAGTTATTATTATTTACTTTGTTTTTTTCGTAGCCGATATATTGAAACCTGGGACTCCACAATAATTGTCCCAAAAAGTGCCTGTTTCTGACAGTTTTGCAATCAAAATATCGGCAATATCAAAAAAATCTTGAACTCAAGAATAACCCTTTAATATAGTTATTATATTAAATTTATGTATCATTTATAATAATAAATACATAATTAATATATTAAATTTATGTTAATGTATCAATTTATATTTTTTATTTAAAAAATTAATTTTAAATATATTTATTTAAAATACAAAATTTATCTTTCCCTTTCCTCCTTTCCAGAAAAAAACCTCCTTCTCAAACAAAACTCCAAAATGAAAGATTGGGACCCTTCATCTACCCTAGTTGTTATCATACATTTGAATGGTAAAGATTTACATCTTTGATTTATAAGTACCTTACAAGTGTCAAAAAATATTTATTTAACACTCTCCATGACTCCATCTCTATTTGTTTTTGTTTATCTGATACGTTACATCATTCAATTTAATATCTGCTTCTCTTCTCTTATCTCTCTCAAGATATAGATGATTTTTCAAAGATTGGCTCTTGTTCTAAAGTTAAAATATCAATTACTGGACTTTTCAATAAAAACTATAAATTTTAATAAAAATATAAGGTTCAGTTTAATTTGTATACCTATCTTAATCATATACAACTACTTAAAATCAATTTCATCAACATTAATCAATTCTACTCGCCTTTAAAACAAATCCACACTTAATCTGCTTGCAATGCCACATGGAAACATCGTTGGGCAAGCATCTTCATGACCTTGGTCTGGTGTTTTGCGTTACTCTTTCTTTCTCGCACCAAGACAGAATCATCAAATGTTTTTTATTGGCATTTTGTTTTGACAAAATGAGTCGAGTGAAACACTGCATGTAGTTTTTTTTAATAAACAATGTAAGGGTCATAGTAGAACTTATAAGCGAGAGAATATAATGAAATAAAAAGGGAACAAAAACGCATTGCAAGAAAGAATCAAACTTGTTCATTCACAATTTGTGTCCTACGACTTAGCACACTGACTGAGTTTGAAAGTCGCAACTTAGGTGTGCTCTTGTTTATTATGTGATACATATTCTTTCCTATACGTAATAACATTGATTCAAAATAGAAGCAACAAAAGAAATGTTGATTACTTGTTTGGTTGTTTTAATTGTGGTTGTTTGTTCAATATGAATGATAGGGATAAGGGATGAGTCAGGCAACATGCCTCAAATGGTAATGGGACCTGCACAAGCACCGTCGTATGGCTGTTTTCTACGTATTGGTTTAATTTTTTGTTTCACATTTTGGTTGGATTTATCCTTGAACAAAATTGTGTGTGCTTGCAGTATCTCGTCAGGTACAAATCCCTATCCTGCTAGCTACTGCAACATCTATAATCTGAGGAAACTAGTTCGTGGTGAGGTATTTAATAGATTTCCAAGGTTATTAATGAAGGAAATAAGGGTCACCATTTATGATAAATGCATTACTTTTACTAAGTGATTTGATTTTTCTATTTTGTTTTGACAAGAGTGGAAGAGTATTTGTTAGAATAAACCCTCAAAATCAAACCTTATTTAAGTCTCGAATATTTTAGTTTCTGAAGTTTTTAAAATCCTTTTAGTCCCTAAAAGTCAATCATTTTAGACAATTTTCACTATTATTTTGTTCAAAAAAGGAACCACGAATGTCGTTTTATAAAGTGAAAGGTTAACAAAAGGTTTTTTTCCAGACTTGTACAATGTCAAAGGTTAGTCATTTGTATTATCACCCTCGTCCAGCAAATTCAACGTGCCTCTAAAGAATTTACTCCACTGACACCTACTTAAGTGAAGAATATTAGCACATTATCAAATTTTCAGATGTAAGTGGTAGAATGTATTACTAAAAGTAAGAATTAGTTGAATATGAATGGTATGAAAGAGCAAATGCTGCATGAATTGCAGCTCCAATGGGAAGCACATCTTCGTCAACTAAAAAGTAGGGACTATGAGCAGGATATACGGATCCACTCTTCTCATTTCTCATTCCCACAAGAAGGAATGAGCCAGGTACTTTTTCCAAGTAAAATGCAAAGTCTTCACTCGCTGTGAAGACGGGGGATAATTCTACGTTTTCTTCTCCAACAATCTTACTTGAGACTTGCCGTGCTAATTGGTATATTCTCTCATCATTTGTAGTTGGAGGGATTGTGGGATGTCCATTACCAAAGAACTGAACCTCTGCAGAGCACCTATGCACTTCTGCTTGCCCTTTAATAACCTGCCCAACAAGTCAAACAAAAGAAAAATACAATATGAGTAATCTCTTTATTTAATTTTTGCTTTTTAATGAGCTCATATCCCTTGGTGGGATTAGAGTTTTATTGTTGTTGTTATTGTAATGAGCTCATATCTAAATGGCAACCCTTGGTGCAACAATATGGTTACTGGTTTGTGAATTGTGACTTAAAGAGGTCACAATTTCAAATCCTATGAAGAGCCTTTCCGCTTGGGGGGGGTATAAGGTTGCATAAATGTAGCCTTCCCACACCTCACTAGGTGGGAGCCTCAGTCGTCCTTCTAAATTTTAAACAGTATGGCATATACAAAACAAGACAATTACCTCTTCTATCCTTTTCCTCAGTGCATAGAAGCTTTTTTTGCTGAATGCTCTATAAGTGCCTCCAATTGTGGCTGAATCAGGGATGATGTCATGAGCAGACCCTGCATGGACCATGGCCACAGAAAGCACCTGCCAAATTAAGATTTCTGCATTAAGCTTAGTGTAACTTTCAAATCACAAAGAGAATCAGTTATACATGTGAATGAATATACAAAAAATTTCATCTTGCATAGTTTATTTTTATTACTGAATTTGAGAACTTCACTCCACCTGAGAATCCAAAGGGTCAGCCTCCCTTGAGACAATGTTTTGCAAGCTAATCACTGATGTTGAAGCAGCAATAACTGGATCAAAACAATGTTGGGGAATTCCTGCTAAACCTCCTCTTCCATTGATCTTTGCTTTGAAGCTTCCACATCCGGCTAAAAATTCTCCGGGCCGTGATGCAACAACTCCCGTGGGATACTCTGGCCCCAAGTGCAACCCGAAAATAGCCCCTACATCTTCAAGCACCTGTTCTTGGATCATGTCTTTTGCACCTGTGCCTTTTTCCTCAGCTGGTTGGAATATTAACACCACAGTAGTCTGCATGTGAAGGAGCATGTTTTCAAAGGAAAAATAGACATATCCTAATAATGTTGATTTTCCAATTCCACTTTACCTGTAACTTTTCTTGCATTTCTTGCAGTATCTTTGCAGCCCCAAGAAGCATGGCAACATGTGCATCGTGCGCACAAGCATGCATTTTGCCATCTACTTTGCTCTTATGATCCCAATCAACCAATTCCTGTTGGTAGGCGTATATACGAGATAAAACATTATATGTCAAGGAGGAATACGTTTCAATCAAGCTATCAATTACTAGCCAAATTTATCCAAGGAGAGAAGAGCATTGGTAAAGAATGTTATGCCTCTATTCTTAGCTTGGTACACGCGTAGAAAGTTTTCATTGCAATGGAATATGCTAAAATCAAATTATCAGAATCAGATTCCTTTGCCTCACTTTATCTGAAACGGGGTGCAGGCAATATAAAAATATACAAGAGATTCGAAGTCTGAGCAAAATTAACTGATACTAGATAAGGCCTTGTATTATTGACCCAAAAAAGAAAAGATAAGGCCTTGTACAAGCTGTGAAAGGAAATTAACTGATTTCGCCGTTTAGTGACAATATTTAATAGAGCAAGGTGAAAAATGGGTACAGATCATAAGTTGAAATTATGGTTGCAACTTTCAATATTAAAAGGTACACCTGGTTGTACTTAATTGACTTCAATATTTATCTTGACACAGTTTCTTTTTTTCCACATCTCCTAAAATCCTCAATTACATAACCAACAACTCTCTTTCAGAGTCAGTGCAGGAGGCTTTTCTTTCCTGTTCCATTTTCCAACAGCAAAATTAACCCACCAATTCCAGTTCCACAATTCCAACACACCCTACTCTGAGAGGAATAATATAAACACAATAGAACATCATAACAACTTAAGTTTCCTTTCTTTTACAATTTTTTCCTACCCAGGAGCACTAACTAGTTTGTTGGGGTCCTTTCCTGAATCTGTTTCTCAAAAACGTTACAAGATTAATAATTGCATGTAGAGTTAAACCAACCAAACCATCCACAAAAAGTCCCATGCATGCAGCATCAAATGAAACAAGCAAGGACAAAACCGTGAAACAGGACAAAATCCTTAACAAAAAACATAAGACTGTGTGTAGTTTGTAAAACTAACCTGAATAGGCAAAGCATCCATGTCTGCTCTAAGTGCAACAAAAGGGGGAGACCCAGAACCAATTTTAGCCACCACACCAGTCTTTGCCACAGGCCACTTGTAATTAACACCCAACTTGTCAAGCTCACGTCTTATGAGAGCACTTGTCTTGAACTCTTCATATGCAAGTTCTGGGTACTCATGAATTTCCCTCCTTATACTCTTCATCCATTCCACCATGCTAGGATTGTTAGCTAACTCAAAAATCTGCTGCTTCAAAGAAGAGCTTTGATTTGAAAATTCCTTGTGGAAAGGAGTTTGAAAGGTAGAGAAGCAGGTGGGAAGGAACAGGAAGAGTAGGAGAATAAGACTGAGATGGTCCATGTGACCAAGTGGTGGATATGAAGATGAAAATGAAAACGTTTGCTATATAAAAAACTTTAGTACACTAGTTTTATATATTTATATATATATACGATGCCACGTAAGAGAAAATCGAACCATACTTCTTAGTATTGGTTGGCACATCAAAACTATTGCTTTATTCTGGTAAAAGGTTATTGGATTGTGTCCGAGTCTAGGATTTCGTGTCTTCACCAAACTTCATGCACATTTCCTATTCCAATTTTTTCCTTAAGATATGAAAATTTGAATTTAGTATTAGTTTTCAACTAATTAATTTAGCGGCTTAATAGAAAATTAACGCTAACAATTAACAAGTGGGTTCCATTTCACACGGATTAAATTAAAGTAATTTTAGTGGGATGAATTGTGTTCCATTATATGTGTCCTGTTGGGTTTATGTGTTAGTTATTGGAGTAGAACGGGGCATTAAATAGATTTAAATTGTAATAAAGAGTTCCTGACTTATTGAAAAGTATATCTATCCAAAATTTATTTATTATTTCTGAGGACAAACGTACTTAAACATTATTTTAAGTGTCCTTTTTGTTTTAAATTTTAATATTATTAATTAAACATAATTAGTTTTAACTCATAAATATAATTCAGCCATATATGTCAATTAATTTTAACTATAAATATTATATTAAACATATAATAGGTCAATATATTTATCAAGAAATGAAAAATATTATATGATGGAAGTTACATTAACAACTATACTGTTTATTATTTTTTTATTGAAAGTTTTATTTTGAAATTAGTTGTTAAATAAAAAGAATGTCATATAAATTATATCTGTAAAGTTTTATATCAATTTAAAATTATTTTATATTTTATTTTTATACATTAAATTTAATATAATACACAATTTTAAAATATATAAAGTAAAAACTATTTACTTTGTCAAAATTTAACACAAATAATAAAAAATATATATACTTTATTAATATAACGTATATAAGGGAAATTTGGTTCACTCCGTTTTATACTACGGAACTTAATCTATAAGGTTATATTAAAAGTTGAATTTAATGTTTGTGGAATCCATGGAATAACAGAAATTCTAAAGACGTTTTTGTTCAGTTAATTCAACTACATTTAATATTACTAATTAGATGAAACTTTAAATTTATTTCTTAAAATACTGTAAAATATAAAGAAAATATATTTTAAGTTTTAATCATTATATTTTTTGTTTTAAAAAATAATCAACTAATAAAAATTGTTTTAATTTTACTTGTAATTTTAAATTGAAATTTTAATAAATACAACCTTACAAAATGTTCTAAGAGAAAATACCTATCAAGTTTCGACTTGCTACATTGATAATAGCAAGTAAATTTTTGGATTAGTGAGTTTGTTTTTTTCATTTAAAAGTTATAAATAGGGTTTTTTTTATATATGAAATTTAAAAATTATATATACTAAAATATGATGTTTTTGAAAAATTTAAAAATCGTCAATTTTTAATGTAGGTGTTGATGGAATAATGAAAAGTTATGAAATTTATATAATTACAAATTATAATTTTAAAAAATATTAAGAAATTATAAAAAGTCAAAAATTACCGATAGAATTTTTAAAAAGTAATAATTTTTTTCGTAAAAAAACGTCATTCGACAAAAAAATTGCCTTTAATTTTTTTTTTTCATTTTTTTCATAATATTTTTTAAATACCATATTTTTTATAACTTTCTTTTATTTTTCCACATTAAAAAAAAACCTTAGAAATAGATAATTTACAATAACAGTATGAGTATGTCCGTACAACGTAGACGAGGTAAAAGAAAACATCTGATGAAGCTATGAGAGGTTAACTCGTACGTTCTCGCACTTGCCATGAAGCATTATTCAAATTGAAGGCGAAAGGAGAAGAGATTTACTGGTTCGAAAGAGTTCACGAGTCAATTTTGGAATATGGCTAATCAGTTGAAAATATAACGATGCGACAGAAAACAATAGAAAGAAAACAACTATTAAATTCTTTTATTATTCATAAATTTTAAATTTTTTAAAAATATTCTTAGTACTGTCTTTTGTTTGACTACTTGCTATTTTAAAATAATAATTAGCATGATACAATTAATTTTTTTTCTCACATTAACACAAAATAATAACAAATAAAAGATTAAAATTAAATTTAATCATATTTTAGTTTAAAATATTTAGATCACAGATATCAAACTCAAGAGATTCTCTAAGAAAAAGCAAGTATATATTATTTAAATCAATTTTCGTTAGTAAATTAATCATATTTATGAAGAAAAAAAAACCTCCTAGTCTTTCTTGAAACTTTTGGTATGACATTGAGCTAGGCAAATTGTTGCATTTGGTAAACTAATCATATTTATAAAACTTTATTTTCAAAATAAAAATTGTACTAAAACAATCAATTTATAAATTTTTGTCATTTAATAAAAGAATTTTCCTTCGTAAAAAAAATTATTCGACCAATGTTGTCATTCACGTCTGAATCAGCAGCAAAAATGCCTGAGAATGTTTTAATATAGGAGTTAGAAAGATAGAGCAGCACGTAAAAGCATTTTCTAGCCTAAAAATGGGGTTACACACTGTAATTGTTATGGAAACACTGCATTAAGCGAAAAAAACAAAAAACCCTCGTGTGTAATGCGTGATGCCTTATACCTTAAGTTGCGCTAACATAGACCACATGCTGCAATTTTGTACCATAAAAGAAAATCCACATGCTTCAATTTTGAGGTTCTCTTCGATTCTCTTTGTCTTACTCTCGATGTTCGATACCTAAATAGCCAAAACATTTGTATGGTTCCACGTGCGCTAATACCTTGTTCTTAATAGGAATGGTGTTGTGCTTTTAATCTTAATAGTATAAAACTTAAACTTGATTCAGATGATATTTTAGTATTTAATATATAATGTACTCTCATAATAAATATAATTAACAATGAAAATAATACAAATTTGAGATGTAGTTAATGATGGTAGTTTCATGATGATTTTTTGGCATTTAAAAAAAAATATCAGAGTGATTGATAAAAAATAGTTTGCGAAAAATCAAGGAATGTTTTTAGAAAAATTTGGAGTTTTGAATGATTGTTTTATAATGAAGTGCATAGAAAGTGTACAGTAGAAAAAAAAACTTACTTTAAAGCAGTGTTATGCAGAAAAAAATGTTAATTTGAGAGACAGAGTATGGTTTAAAAAATTGACAAAAAATAATTTTGCTGTAATTAAAAAACATAAAAAATTCTAAAATAAACATTCACTAAAATTTGCCTGTGTCACCTCGTTGTTAATTCGATAAACATGTTGACAATAATAAATAATTATAAAAAAAACTATATTTTTGAATAACTTACCATCTATTTTGAAATCTTAAGAGATAAAACGAAGTTCTATTGAACTCCTTTATTCTTAAACGTTTTGTTTAACTTTATTCTATTATTATTATTATTACGACAAAAGAGAGAGTAAAATTTTAAAAAATATAAAAATAAACGGCCCCAAAAAATTTTCTTTGGCTCACCTTGTTACTATTCCAAATAAATATCTTAACAATAATAAATAATTATAAACAAATATAAATTTTAAATATCTTGCTGTCTTTTAAAATGAAGGTGTATTGAACTCTTTTACTTTTAATCGTTTCATCTAAATTATTTATTCTATTTTTTTCAAGTGTTAAAATCACAAGTATTAAAAGTTATATGTCGATAACTCTAGAAGTCAAAATATAAAAAAATATATATAGTAAAATAAATTAAAGTGATAATATTATATTATTACAGCAGAGAGTGTAATTTTAAAAAATATATATAAAATAGCATTTAAATATTAATGAAAAATACTCTATATTAATAGATATATGTATGGAGTAACAAGATGAGTGTGAATTGTACCAAATATAATTCACGTGTGATTTATGTTGGAAGTCGTATTCACGTGTAAGTAGATAGAGTTAGTGTTAAAGAATGAGTCATCTCATCTTATATGCTCAGTGACAGACTTTGACTAATCGTTGGGGAGACACGGAAATGTGAGTGTAAAAAAAACCAATGAATATGCGGTGTTCATACTATTATTCAATCAAATGACATGTGATCAAATTTGAATATTAATTTTTAATTAATTGAAAATTATGATCGCAATTATACACACATAAGCTAATTCTGAACCACTGAATAATTCTTGTCCTCTTTGGTTATCTATTGCGTGTCTTCCTCACTTTTCGGTTTTCTTCTACATCACTCTTTGCAGGGAAAGTTCCCAAGATCCACTTATTCGTGTGCTTTATACGGAAAAAAGCACGTGTTTCTCATTTTCTCATATAAAATTAGATATATTTAGCTGCCTAATTTGAGTTGACTATGCTATCCCATCGGAGTCATGAAAATGAAATTATATTGTTTTATGGTATTATAATAAAGTTTTTTTTTTATTTAAATATGAACTTTTAGTTACTTAATTATATAAATATGAGGTTTTAAAAAAACATTAATGATGTCTATCGTAGAAGTCACCTCCGTTTGAGCTTCAGACGCACCAAAAATTTGGAAGCATATCTCAAAAAGATCTTAAAAAAATGATAATGGTGTCTTTTAAGATAAATCTTTGAACAAATTCTATTATTACTAATTTTGTAATAAGTTTTTTTTTTTTTTGCTATACCGAGGAACTAAAACTCTAAAAAAAAAAAAACAAAATAGGATAATTTTTTTAAAAAAACAAGTGTCACTAGCATCTAATCAAAAAATATAGACAAAATAAGAAAACATCAAAACACTTAAAAACAGATATATTTTTCAACTTCTAATTTAGTGAGCTTGTTAGTACACTAATTGACTGACTTCTCTACGAATATGTCTAAACTTAGCAAATTAGATCAAATTTATCACCCTCCCAATATTAATTAACAAAAGAAATAAATAATGAGTTTCGTCTTAAATATTCAGCAGCAAAAACAAGACTGCCTTAAATTCATACTCAATTTATATAAGATGAAATTTATAAAAAAATATTAAAATAAAAGAATTAATATTAATTTTAGATTTAAAATAAGA